TTGTAACTGGGCTCACACTATCGCTCGCCTGGTTCCGTCTGCGTCTCAAGGTGTTTGGCATTGAAGATGTGGAGCTCATCCCCCTCCACCCATCAACACTTCCGAAGAAACTCAATGTACGTACGTGTGTGTGTGTGTGTGTATGACCCTGTGTCATGTTCAGAATCGCGAATGGAGATAACAACCTCACCACCTCCACCACCTTCCATTCACACCACCACCTCCCATTCACACCACCACCTCCCACTCACACCACCTCTCATTCACACCACCTCCCATTCACAACACCACCTCCCATTCACACCACCTTCCACCCTCCAGGCGCAGTCTGCGGTGCCGCGAACGGCTGTGCCGGCGTCCGTGTGCTGCAGCGACCGGAGCGTCGTGGTGAAGGAGCAGCCGCGGCGGTCGGCGCACGTGGCCGCGGACACATTGGCCAAACTGCAGCGCCGCAGCCTTCCAAATGGGGAAACCCGCAGCACCAATGGCCGTGGTGGTGGTAATGGTGGTGGTGACGCTGAGAAGGGAGAGGCGCATGCTGGGACAGAGGCAGGTGCCATAAACGGTGGCAGCCGTGGGACAAGCACTGCGACAGAGCAGAAAGATGGTAACAAAGGAGGTGGTGGTGGTGTGGCTGATGGCTGTGCTGGTGTTGATGAGGAGGACGATGTGACGCCTCCGCTTGATCCGGCCACACGCCGCATATGGGATCGGTTGCACAGGAGACACGTCAAGGTCAGATTTGTGGTTGTGTGTGTGTGTGTGTGTGTGTGTGTGTGTGTGTGTGTGTGTGTGTGTGTGTGTGTGTGTGTGTGTGTGTCTTTCCTGTCTTGCTCACGCTCATACCCACAAGCACGCACTTCCTCTCTGCCCGCGCTCGCCACATGTGCAATTGAACTCGTGCACCACTTCTTGACCTTCTCCTACTTCTGTCCACGTCAACGTCAACTCTCTCTCACCCCACCCCCTCCACCCTCGTGCTGTCGATGATGACATGACGACAGGAGATCAAGAAAATGTTTTCGCTGCAGCAGGGCGGCGGGTTCCTCTTCTCCCTCTCAGGACACATCCTCATGAGGTGACGTGCTTTTTTGGGGTTGTGTAATGTGCTGCGCGACTGTGCCATGCGAAAACGCATTGGTATCATTGACCTCACACACATCCTCCCCCTCTCCCTCTCCACCTCCTCCATCACCACCATCATCACCATCACCACGGCCGCCACCATCATCACGGCAGCATGCAGCATCTTGCGGCGCTGAGCGAAGACGACCTCACCCGCCCGCTCCTCCCCGTGAGTCGAGGAGGGCGTGACACGTGATGATAGTGGTGGTGCTTGCTCGTGTATCCTGCGCATGTATTGGTGGTTTTGGCGTGTTTGTGTGTGAATGTGTGAGTTTGTAGCGTGCCAGAAAGCGATGATGACTTGATTGCGCCCCTGTCCTCACATCACCCTGCCACATTATCACACTCACAACACGCCCACATCACTCCATCACCGTCACACCATCACGACTGCAACACCCAGCACTGCGACCGCCACTGGTGGAACAAGCGCATGCAAAGCGATTTGTACGCGCGTGCACGTGCGCAGGACCCGCCTTCCTCTTCCTCAAAGTCGTCGTCTTCACTCTTTGCTCCGTGGATCCTGCCAGTCGTGCAGGTGTGTGTGTGTGTGTGTGTGTGTGTGTGTGTGTGTGTGTGAGTGAGTGTGTGTGTGTGTGTGTGTATGTGTGTGTGTGTGTGTGTGTGTGTGTGTGTGAAATAATTCTCCCTGCAACCTCACACCGCACCACTCAACGTCACGACCGTTACCACGCCACGCCGCCACCACCATCGCCACCATCAAGGGGTTTTTCCACCGCCACCGGGTGAATGTTGGGGACCACCACATCTCCATCACCGTCATCTCCCGCCGCTCCCGGCACAGGCTCGGATGCAGGTGATGCCGTGGACGGTGTGGAGTGTACACTGAAGTGGCGTGCAGGGGGGGGGGGAGGGCTGGCATGTGTCACGTGTGTGGTTGATGATGGTTTCTTAAGACGGTGTGTCGCATGCACTGACACACACACACACACACATGCACACGCACGCACACATATACCCATGTACGCATGTACCCACCTGTGCGCTTGCCTGTGTCTCAGATACAAGCGGCGCGGCGTGGATGCAGACGGTCACGTCGCAAACAGCGTCGAAACGGAGCAGGTGGTGGTGGCGGCGGTGGTGGTGGTGGTGTTGGTGCAACCTTTGATGGCTTTTGGGCGGTTGTCTTCAAGCCCCACGAGCCTGTATACACATGCAATCACGCACACAAGCACATAGACACGCACCACTTGCACTCACACTCACACTGCTCACTCCCGCCTTCTCACCACCAATCCATCCACCACCCTCAGATTGTCATGTCTGGCACCGCCGTACATTCGTTCGTCCAATACAGAGGTGAGCGTGTCACAATTTGGAAGGGGGGGAGGGGGAAGGGGCATGTGATGCGCGCCTGTCTGCTTGTTTGACATCCGCATTGACACCCGCAACTTCGCACACTCGTGCACACACACTCTCTCTCACTCACACACACACACACACAGACACACACACACACACACACTCTCTCTC